CAAGAAGTCACTGTTGAGATTATTAAAGGCTTCAGTAAGGAACTCTAACAAATAGATCAGGAAGTCATTAGTAAGAAAACATTTCTAGTGAAATCTGTGCCCAGTGTATTTCTTGCAGAAAAGCCTACTTTACTCAAACCATTTGCCATTAGATGTACCCTAAAGATAATTACCCAATACTGGTTTGTCTCCTGCTTCCTGGACTCCTGAGCACCGTAGTAAGGCCCTAAGCAATGTAGCCCTATCCATTGTCCAGGTGAGTGTTATAATCTAGTTTTTTTTTTTTTTTTTCCTCCATGTTTGAGGGAAGAGGAAGACTTCAGGTAAAGGGTGTCACTAATACTAGCTCTCCAGGAAGGGTCAAGTCATCGACAGTGTGACCTTTCCTTGTCTCCTCAGAAAAACTACATTTCAATGTAGGCTATGTCTAAAGCAATAGGAATAAGGCATTAAATAAAGAATTTTAGCAGATAGCCTTTTGGGAAGTTTGGTGGACAGGAAGGGTGCAGTCTCCTTGGAGCCTCAGCAAATACAACATGAAAGTAGTTCTCAGATAAGGCTAAAACTCTAAATCCCTGTAAAGATTTTCCTGGACAGTCTGGTTTGATCAGTTTACTATGAGGTCCAGAATGACAAAGAGGGAACATAGGGAGGACTCCTATCAAGTGAAATAATCATTCCTTAATAAGAAATTAAGTTCTCAGATACTTGTAACAGTTGCCTTGTTGGGGAGGGGAGCTATATATTTGTAAATTATATATTTTTGTTGTTGTTCTTTGTTTCTGAGTACTTGGAATTATGCTTCAGCAATAAAATATTAGGTGTGCAATAATCTTGTCAGCTAGTGTGTGCTAGGATTAGAGTTGTTACAGAAGGCTGCTTTTGTTTATCAAGTCTTCCCAAAGGACATATATGATCATACACTTAATTTAACATTTGGGCTTAAGAGCTTAACCTTATCAGGGATGGAACTGGATTTTACAAAGTTCCCTTTATAGGCAACATGAATATTCCTTTCTCCCGGCATTCTGTACATCTGCCTCCTAGGACCAGCAACCAGCCAAGTCATTTTGTCCATTTTTGTTGAACTGGATACATGAGGAACACCCTGTTTCTTTAAATCCCAAATGCTCAATTGTAGAAACCAACTCCCTATCATTTTTTTCCACATTTAATCCTTCGTGTCCCGTCATATATTCATTTTCCTGCATTGGTTCCCATGGCAACAAGTCTGTTGGCAAAGAAAGTGTGACTCTGCTTTTAGCCTTCTGCACAATGCAAAATCCTTCTCAGGCAACTGTCGTTAATCAGGCAGGAGACTACAGTTCCCTTGCTAATGCCAAAAATCTCCTCCCCTCCTGTGTGCATTTCACATCCTATCCCTAAACCAGGCTCACTGGCCCAGGAGAAAAGATAGCATACACAAGCACTGCCCAGAATTCCTTCAACTACTGATACAAGTATTCAGATCTCCCATTGAACCACAGATGTGAGGATTAAACCTTTTTATTCCGATGGCTTTCTTCTCCAAAAGTGTCAGTGATTAATGCATAAATAATGACAAACCACTGGGGTCAACATGGAAAAGCAAGTTTCACTCATTTTTCTATAAGAATATCCTCAATATGCATCTGACATATAGCACAGGGAATAAGTTATGTCCTGAATTGAGCCTTGAATCAGTATCAAATGACAGGACAGTGGGGACAACATTTAAGCATTTTCTCCTAGGATTAGTTAAATGGCACCAGATGGGAGATCAAGAAATTATTCCAGAGTCTTGAGGTACTGGAGAGAGAAATAAGAAAGAGGACACTGTAACTGGTGGCTTCATGTGAGCAAGGGAGCTTCAGTTGGGATAATTCAGTGTTCAAGTATGAAAAAGGTAAGAAACTTCAGGAAATGGAGGATGGAGATAGAGAAGAGAACGGGAGCCTGAAAAGAAGAATAACTTCATTCAGACTTTGGCTCAACTCCATCTATAAAATATTTTTGCTAGTAATGTTTCTCTTAATAGATTATGTTTTAAACTTTAGAATTTCATCATTGCTTGGCACTAGTAACCCCAAACTCCTATGTCCTCAACATTTAGAAAAAATCAGGAAGTTTGTCAGAAATTGAGTAAGATTTATTTAAATGTGTGTATAGATTTTTTTCCCTAAAGTTGTTGAATTCAGGGGAATGAAAATATATATTAGAAATAAAAAAATGTAGTTATCTCAGTTATAGTTATGAAAATTAGCAATGTAAATGATCCCCTTTTGCCGAGTCTTATAAAATGCGATACTTAAGCACAGTGAGTTTTAAAGTTAGCTGCATATATTGTACAAAGCTATTTTTGGCTCTTTATAGGTTATTTTCCTACATTAAGAAAAGTTTTCTTATAATAAAAACTTGTTGTGACTCAGGTTTTGTGTCTATGTATAGACACGTATACATAGGAGGGTTTTTCTTTGCTCATTTGTTTTGCACAGCTGAAGTAATGAGGTTAAATAATGCCTAAGTATGCAGGTCAGTTGACCTTTAAGAGAGCCGGATTAAGGAAAGCATTTGACAAATGGACAAAAAAAAAATCACACTGTATTTCCTGTATCTCTCTATCCCTCTTGCACTGTCCTAGCTCTCTACTGAAAGAATCTCTCATTTAGTCAGGAAATCCAAGATGAAACTCTCAGGCAGAAAGAATATAAAGCAGTTCCCATACTTGCTAGAAAAATTAATTTATAATTTATTTTCAGAATGTACTATTTATTGAAATAAGTTATTTTCAATACTGGTCTTTCCACCCAAGAGGACTCTTACTGGTCTTGAATGTGGGAAAGGCATCTGATTCAGGTCAGAAACAATATTTTATGTTGTTTAGCTCTTAAGAATTTAGTTTTAGCTTTGATGACACCTAGTGTCAATGGAATGCAATAAATCTTTAATACTTCTGCTCGATGATGATTAGGCATTTCTCTTTAACAGTTTTCCTCCTGTAAAATGCAAAGCCTTATTATTTTGTTTGGAATGAAGAGAAAGATAATTGAGAGATCAACCACATATATTTTGATTGAGGAACCAATCAAGTTTCTCTTTGTGCACATTGTATAGAAGGGACTAAAGGAAGCTTAGGGATGATAACATTGTCTACATGAGGAGGAGGAATTTTTTCCAAAGTTTAATATGGAAAATCAGAGGTAAATCTACAGAATTCTGCTCAAAGACTATCACAAATGACCTTGTAAAAGTTTACTGCAAGATTACTGTAGATTATTGCATATATAGAGTTATTTTTTCCATTTTACCACCACCCAAGGGCACCCCTCACCAAGCTGGATATATGTAAATCATAATATGAACCATGGTCTCATTCTATTCAGAGAAGAAATATTAAATTAACAGAAGTGATTCTAAAGGATAACAGTGGTAAGTTTTCAAATGATTTGTTAATAAGTAAAAAAGGTACTCTATATATTGTTTTGAGGTTAAGTATAAAATTTTCTTTATTTTTGAACTATAATTAATTACTTTTGACCTCTGTTATTTTGGGGCATAATGCTTTTATTATTCTATAAAGTTCTAATTTCACTTATATAAATTAATATTTTCATATGTGCCAAATACAAACACAAATTTTTCATCTGAGGTCATATTAATCAGTTAGTGAAATATTTCACTCTCTTGTTAGTTTAAGAAAAATTCCTAGGCAGTGATGCAACTTTGAGTCATTATTTTAGTAAAATGAAGACAGTCTCTAGAGTCATATTCTTTTATAATATCTGACTTCACTACCATATGTGCAGCACAACAGTGACATCTTAAGGCCAAGTAACCAGAGTTCCTTTAGTCAGAGAAAGAACTTGAATTGGGATCTGATTTCAAAGAAATTCCATTATGTTAACAAGTAGTTTTCAAGTTTACAATATGCAATTGGTAGATAAAGTGCTTCTTTATTTATGACTTCTTTTGCAGTCTCTGTGAACATTTTAATGTGCATTAGTAAATGCTGACATTTTACATAGACATACTGTATATTAATGCATGCATTTCACTGCATCATTTACTGATACTCCCCTTGTAAAGCTTTTATGGAAGAACCAACAGGCCACAGCAGTATAGCAAAAGAGGCTTAATCTTTATAAATTGGGGCCTTTTCTGTCTCTTTGCTAGCCTAGGTGGCTGTATACAAATTCGGGTGGGAGGGGCAGGAAACACCTCTTAACATTTAAGATTTTCTACTTGGGTATATGCTAGTCAACTCCAAACAAATTGCTTACTTTAATAAAGAAAGTTTTAACATTTTATAAAAAAAATCAAATCATGACATGTTTAATTGAAATGGCTGTATTGTAATTAATATTTTGAGATAATTGTGATTTTGAGCTTAAAATTATATATAAAAATTGTCATTTTTGTATGTGTTAAAAGGACTATTGTATCATGATTAACAGTACTTTTTAGTTGAACAACATTGATGTAAATAAAACTGAATGAGAACATATTTACTACTTTATTAACATAGATTGTGAATGTACTTAATGGTTTTTTTTTGCAGTATGAGACCATAACAACCTTGAAAACCGCTTCATTTTCCGTGCAAAGAAGTCCTATGAATCTATATTTTAAATTTACTGAATCAGTGAAATGACTTTGTAGGTTAATTTGCAAATGCAAGCTGTATTCTCCAGTTTTATTTTATGTATTGACACTAATTGGTAAAGGTGTACAATGTGATTAGAATGCATTTTGAAGATGCTTTCTGTACAGATATAAAATACAGGGACTAAAATAATGCTGTGCAGTGTATAGCAGAGCCATTTTTCGGCTTTGGTGTACTCAACTTTTTCAGTATTTAAAAAAAGTGTTTTGAATAACATAAAAGTCTCTTTATTGTATAAATAATAAAATGTCACCTTATTGTAAAGTGTCTTTTGTTTACTATCAAAGCAGACTTCTTAGCAACAGAGTTGTGACATGAAAAGGGCATGTTTTAAAAGAAACAAAAACAAACACTGTAATCAATATTTGAAAAATGTAATTTTTATTATGAACATGTATTTATCTTTATTAGCAATGATTTTTCATTATGTAAGCATGCCTCAATCATCTAAAAGTTACCTATCTACATATCTATAGATAAACATGCTATTGAATTGGATACTTAATAGAATTATATGGTGTCACAATGACTGATCAACTTAATTCTGATAATTTTGGTGTAAACAAAAATGTTTATATTTAATTTCTATTAAATTGAGTTTATCTATATAAAATTCCCTTTTAGAAAATGACTGTATGACTGTAAATTTAATCTTATCAAGACAAAGTAAATTTTAAAATTAAAGTGCTGAAAATAAAAAGATGCACAAGTCAGATTAAAACATACCCAAGTATATTAAGTATTCAAATACCTGCTGAATAAGTGTTTAAAACAAAGTTCATTTTAAGATTCATTCCTTTTTTCTTCCCTCCTGCCCTTCTTTTTTTTTGTGTGTGTATGTCTGGTACTGTGGCTTGATCCCAGGACCTCACACATGCTAGACAAGCACTGAGCTACATCCTCAGCGCCCTTTATTACATTTTGGAGACAGGGTCTCACTACGTTGCTGAGGCTGGCCTTGAACTGGTGATCCTCTTGTCTCAGACTCCTGCATAGCTGAGTGCCGCAGTCCGGCTGGCTGCAGCAAAATAACCGGGGGGTGACGAATAACTTGTGTACGTTGATACAGCAGGAGTGGGAGCCGTTTATTGTAGGACAGGAGCAGTATTTATACATTCCACACAGCTTATCTAATTAGCATAAACTAGATACATCAGTCAACCAATAAGGAATCTCCACACTTAATGGCTTGTTTTTGTTACTTCTCAAACCACTCCCTCTGGCATTTTGCCAGGCACCATCCAGACTTGTTTACGAACTCTAACATTCCCCTGGCAAAATGCCAGGTGTTATTTTTGACTTGTTTACAGACTCTAATAGCTGAGATTACAGGCATGTGCTACTATATCACATTAGCTTTAAGATTTCTATATGGTATATGTTGTTTTCTGTTGCTGCTACCAATAGAATTAATAAGGTCTTCATTTTTTCCCCCCTTAAGGGACAAAAGGTGATTAAATGTTTACACTCCCCAGGGGGAAAATATACAGATCCAATCTTTAATTCTCCTAAATCTAAAAGTACTAGATTATCATACGAAAACAATACTAAGGCATCACTTTTAAAAATGCCAAATTTTAAAGTCAAAATCGTGAAAGCAGTTATAATACGCTTTCATTATTTTCTCCAATAATCATGTCTTGAGTGTTATTTTTGAGAAATTAGCAAATCTGATAAAATGATTTCATAAAATAGGAGGAAAAGACTTATTCAATCATTAGAAAAGAAACATTCCAACTGGTTTAAAGCCAAAATAAGACAGTAAATGTTAATTTAAAACTTGACCAACCATATCACAAAAGTCCTATCACAGGTAATGAAGTCTTTTTTTTTAACCCACAAAAAAGTATTAAATAAATTTCATTTTGGTTTTACATCTAATAAAAAAGTAGAAATTAAATACTCATATTCAAGTCAACTGGTTATATTGTATGGATTACAAAAAGAAATGAGGAAAAAAGAAACCCAATTCTACAAAAATGCTTTGTTATTATAAAAATATTAAATCATCTTACATAAAAATTCACTTTCAAAGAAAGTGCTTACAAATTTTAAGGGAATGAATGTGGGATAAATGTAGGATAAATCCTGTGGAAAACATTCAGACAAAATGTATGAACACTCCATAAGTGTATGTAGTTAATATCGTTATAAATGTACACAACACTTTAGAAAAAATGTTGAATAGTTATCAATGGAAAATATTTATTGGCAGTGATAATAGCCCAGGCCAATTATACCAATGGCTGGGTGATAACTGAGAAACTAGAAGATCAGTTATAGCAATCACCTTTAGGATGATACTAAAACAAAATGTAATATTCTTCTAAGATTTAACATGATGACTGGGATCATTTAAGTAGGAATCCGGTCCCTCAAATACTCCAATATAGCAGCTGTTCCTTTCATTAATATAGTGGCTCGAGGAACACGGAATGGATTTCCATCTAGTAGTAAAGTTCTAAAAAAAAGAGAGAGATTGAGAATTTCAACATTTTCTATTATTGAGATGTTTTAATGGAAATAAATTTTTATTTGCAATTCTATAAATAAAATGTGTATTTTTCATATTTGTCCCTTTTCAAAACTGAACATTTAAATAGTTGGAATTACAACTAAAATAATAACCCAAACAATACAAGTTGAACAACTATTATATAAAAGATAATATACATTCCTTGTATATAAAATCAATATTTTTAGGATATGAACATTCATTTTACAGATGAGGAAACACAAATATACAGAGGCAAGAGAGACTTGAGACTGAATTAGAGTTAGACGAGTATTAGAATGAGCAAACTGTCAAGTACCCTTGCCAAGGACTATAATGTAATCAATGTATTAGGTCCTCCTCGCCCTGTAAAATATTAACATATATCTGACCTCTCCCACCCTTGAGCAGGCATACATTTATGTGTGGAAATAAGGCTCAATATAGATTTAAGGGCTTGTTCTTCCATTTCTTTACATAATTAATGAAATATCCTCAATTAGAAGAGATGTAATTTGTAATATCTTTAGAATTTATGTAAATAAAAGTCAAGACAGTTTATCTAAATTATATCTCCAAATATTTATGTTTTTTTAAAAGATATATTTGAATTTATAGAAAAAGGAGTTGATTATAGTTGAACCTCATTACTCACAGATTTCATATTTGCAAATCTGCCTACTCATTAAAATTTGTTTTTAACCCCCAAATCAATATGTGTGACACTTCCAAGATTATTCATGGAGCAGGAGAAAATTTGAGTCACCAGACTGGTATGACCCCATTAAAGTCATACAAGGTGAAGTTCTGCCTTCTTGTTTCAGCTCTTAAACTGTAAACAAATGTCATTTCTGTGGTCCATTTGGTGCCACATTTTTCAAATTTTTGTACTTTTTGTTGGTGATTCCACTGTTAAAAATGGCCCCCAAGTATAGTGCTGAAGTGCTATCTGATTTTCTTTAAGCACAAATGTGCCTTCGGAGAAAACACAATTGTGGAGTAAGCTGTAGTCAGGCATAATGTATAATGCTGTGGGCCATGAATTCAAAGCTAATGAATCAATAATGACATGTCTTTATACACTGAAACACACACAAACTAAGGTTATGTACTGATGGATGTATGAAAATATTATGACCAGACTTTTGCAAAAGTCTTACACTGTATTTCCCCTAGAAACAATAGTTCAATATTCACTAATTCAGTTCATAGTAACTTTATAGAACACGACTACAGCAAATAATGAGAATCAACAATACTCATCTTCTATAACTTACTATTATGAGGTACCAGAGCAGATGCCAGTGCTGCCCCAGTGAAGTGAAATATACCAATTACCATGCAGTTTTTACTAATTAAAATATTTCTAACATATTCTGCTTAACTAATTGGCTTTTTATTAACATCTCAAATTCTTTTTATATACATGTAACCAGCGATATGTTCTAAGTTTGGGAATATCTCTTTTCTAAAGAAAGATAAATCAGAATAGAGAGTAATTCTGCTTGGAGAATATGGATAGTTTTCAAAAGAAATAGATGAGAACTGGCATGGTAGTGCATGCCTGTAATCCCAGCATCTCAGAATTTTGAGGCTGGAGGATCCTGAGTTCAAAGTTAGCCTCTGCAACTTAGCAAGGCTCTAAGTAACTTAGCCAGACCCTGTCTCAAAATAAAATATACAAAGGGTTGGGGATGTGGCAGAGGTTAGGCACCCCAGGTTTAATTTCTGGTACCCTCCCCCCCCCCAAAAAACTCCCAAAGAAATAGATGAGAAAAATACTACTAGATACAAATAGCATGTTTATACATATATAAGAAAACATATATATAAAAACAAGAAAAATATTTGATAAATTTCAAAAACAGAATTGGAATTCTGAGTTTTGTTAATTATTATTTTTAACAGGATATTATTTGTTACTTCACTTCCTAAAACATTATCTGAACAACAACAAATCACTTCAACAAATAAATTGAATAAGTGGAAAACTTCAATAGAACAGTGTACCTTAAGTTCACACAATTACCAAGCTCTGGTGGAATTTGCAGGAGGTCATTATTCTGAAGGTCCAATGTGCTAAGATTTTCCATCATCTTCATTTTCAGAGCATCCAAAGATCCAACCTGATTGTTACTAATCAGAATTGTTTCAAGCGTTGAGATATGATAGAGAACTTCAGGTAGCATTTTGAATCTATTAATAAACATGAACAGAACACCTAAATATACTAGAATCAGAGGCCAAAATCCTTAAAATAGATGATCTTAAGTTTTATACCAGGAAATAACATTTCCATTAGTGTATTTTACAATATATTTGGTTGTGTCCTAAATTCAAACTTTCCAGAAAATAAAGAAAATGGACTAACTCCGGAAACCTTGAAATACATATTAATTGGACAGACTATATTGATTGTATAAAATCAAACAAAACTTCAGAATAAATTCTTCTATGTTTTTCTGTTCATTCAGGGGGAAAAGAAATCTTCCTCAGATTTTCTATTTAATATATTCATGCAGGTATTTGTCCTTAGTTCATATTAACTTATGAGTTGCTGCCAATATATTATGAAAAATTTGAGATTTATATTTTGCTTTGACTGAAGCTTCCACAATGAGTACATTACAGATTCTTAAAAAAGATGACAAATTAGCATAGATACTGACATCCTTATCCATGCCAATCCTGAGAATGCCACAAAAACAGAAAGGCTAATAGTTCTCAGAGTAATTACTCACAATTAACAAGATCATGGAGGTCCCCTTTAGGGATACAGGCAGTCCCAGTTTCAGTATGAGGTAAACTGTAACCTGAACTAGCTAAGAAAAGGAAGGGCTAATAGAGAACTTTTTATCTGTGGCTTTTTCATTTCACCATACTGTCCTTCCCTCCTTCCTTCGTTGTTTGGATACAAAGAAGTGATAGTGATGGGGAAACTCAAGACAACTCTGAAGTCCCACTATCACTAAGAGTCAATAACCAAGACTACAATTCAACTGAGAGCTCAAGAGACAGCTCAACAGATACCTGATAGCTCAATCTATAAGTAATAATTAGGAGAGATCTGAACTGTGCATATATTTTTAAATAATGACAATAATGGTATACACTATATGTGACAAAACACAAATAGTGAAGGAATAAAAATTAAAATAAGTATATAGTTTAACATTACTATGCATTAGCTTCTTCATCTATACATAAGGAAAAATAATAGTACTAAAATATGTAAATTTGTTCTAAGGATGAAATAAATATATTTGAAAACCTTAGATTATCTGGGTTACAATAAATATTAGCTTTTAGTAGTTTTATTAAATTGCGGTTAGAATCAATTTTTATCATATTAAACAACATGCCACAGGTGCTAACAGCCCCACTTTTGGAGCAAAACCACCCAGACTCAAATCCCAGCTTTATAACTTACTTTTTTGTACACCTTAAGTAAGTTATTTAACTTTGAATCTTTGCTTTTTTAAATACAAATACTAACAGAATCTACAACATAGGATTTTTGTACAGAGGGTTAATTCATGTATTTAGCACAGCACCAGCAGATAAATTGTTCCTAATAAATATTAGTTATTCCGAATTATCTGCAGAATCATGATAGTATTTGTAGAAAAACAATCTGTTTCACTTAGCTTAAAAAGCTCTTACGGGGCTAGTTATTGTTCAAATGCCCAACCTTGTCTGTCTGTGCTATACCACTAGCTCCTCAATTTATAGAGCAAGGCATATTGAATTTTTTGAAGTTTCTCAAACATACCATGTTTATATATGTTTGGGCCTAGCACATGCTATTTGCTTTAACTAGGATCTTCTCCCCAAGTGCCTAGCAAATGTCTATTTAAGCCTCGGTTTCAATGCTACCTCCTCTACCTTCAGTTAATCTCAGTGGACCTTTTCCTATGCACTATGTTTCCATTATAGCAATTACGATTATTCACCATAAATTATTTATTACAATTATTTATTTGTATATTTGTCTTTCTACTAAGCTACAGGTTTCTACAAATTGTAAAATGGAACAAAAAATCTGCTAGACATCAATTGTGAGAATTCTAAGAAAGCAACATTGCTCTCAATTCTAAATAAAACAAAATGAAATAAAACCTGGATATTGAAATAAAGTAAAAATATGGGTTATTTTTGTTATTTCATTTTTAAATTGTTTTCTCTAGTAAGAAAGATCAATATATTTTCCATAGAATGGCTGTTAGAATTATCTGTTCTCTTACCTATTAAAGGAAAGATTGATCGTTTGTAGTCTTATCAACAATTTCATTTCTTCAGGCAAAGAACTTAAAAAATTGTTCCTAAATTAGAAATCAAAATAGATTAAAATAAAAATTTTTATGAGTTTAATTTATAATTAAAATTTTGAGCAGAAAACAGTACACATATCAGTTTGTCAGTCCTAATCTGATCTCATTAATGCTGAATTCTGAGAATTCTGAGTCAACTGGGTCAAGCATTTGGTTAGTGTATCCAATCTAAATAACACCAATATGCAACCTAATGATAATGAAAACAACTTTTTAATAATACTCAACAAGATAAACATTGTAAACTAATCTCTTAACTCTATCAAATTGTGTTCAGCAATACTTGTCATGGTCTAGTCATGTTTATAATTCCGCACAAAACAAATATTCTCTCAGTGTTAATATGTATATCTTGTAAACAGACATGACATTTTACTCCAAGAAGAACTGAAACATTACAAGAAAAAATAAAACATGTTAAAGAGATTTTATAGGTTTGGAAACCTGGATCTTTCTACTCGAGGTATTAAGCAAGTTCATTTCTATTCTAAGTATAAAATTTCAATTTGTACAGTGAATATATTGATTTTTAGGTGTTATAATGAAACATGGCAATAAACAGAATCTTATTCATTATTAGAAGGATCTGAGAACAATGCTAGAAGATTAATAAGAAGGCAGAGACAGAATAACTACTAATAGAAAACATTTGTTAGAGAATATTTCCCAACTAGGTGCCTATTAAAACCAAGTAATTTTCTCTAACCTACTTCTTTAGGTTTAATAGTGAAGACTTTATATTCTATAAATGTATAATTATGTTAAAATGAACCCCTAATATTATATATAACTAAAAGAAACTAATAAAAAGTCAAGCCAAATGTGTAATAAGAATCTTACTTTCTGTGGTACAACATATGTCCTTTTTTTCTTTATATCTTTCTCCAACTATTATCTATATTAAGTTGTGTTGAATAACCCATCGCTGTTTACTATTCTTTTCCTAGACAATGTTATAGTTATTGCTATCAGACATGAAAGTCAAATTTGGTCGCTTAATTAGAAATTCCAGGTACAGATACAGACAGGCCCATTTATACAAACAGAAGATTGAGCCAAAAATAGATAGCAGCAATGGAGAGATGGATTCATTTCCTCAGCTGCATTATTACTGAACTAAAATATGATTTTTATAGTTTTCCTATTATAATTGCAATCCCCATATAGAAGCAGTTCCACATCTAATTGGAACAGAATGTTAGTACATTTACTTGAATTACGTAAGTAAAAATACATCTGTACAAGAACAAAGCCTAAAAAAGATATAACTTGTTATTTGAAAACTGAGCAAAGCAGGAACAGTTAGTCTTTAAATAAATGATAGCACATCTAGAAATAATATAAAGGCATGGAAAAGTCCAAGCAAAAATATATAGTTTACCAAAAAAAAAAAAAAAAAATTAGATTCTAAGTAAGTAACTAACTCTTGAGACATCTAATGGTATCCTTAAAGAACTGTCATACTTTTAATCTCCATCACTTCAAGTTGGACACACTTAAACGTCCTATTACTTCCATAAAGCCTAAAGCAGTTTCTTTTTGTTGTCAGGTGTTTTCTTTTTCTTTTATTTTTTTTTATGGCCTTGTGTATTTAACAAACTATTGTGAAACCAAGTAGTTTCCTTAAAGAGAAGCTTTGCAAACTGCTGTGCCAGCACAGGGTTGTGCCAATTTTATGCTATCTACTTGCAGGAAATAAACAATACAAAGGAAATATTTTCCATATTACAAATATTTTGTGTTATTTGTAATTTTGCTTAGGTAGGAATCTAAAGAATGTGCTATTATTTTTAACATTTTAAATAATTTTGTCTTATCACAACTTATAAAGTGCTTACGAATGCTAACTGATTAAAATGTTTCTTTAATACTTAATTTTAGATTTCCATTAGAGTATTGTTAATAAAGACCAGTTTCCATACTTACCTATGAAAACATGACATAAAAGGCAAGTTAGGCAAAACTTAGAGACAAGTTATAATTTTGAAAAAGTCAAACAACAATAGCAATAAATACCTTAGATCTAAAAACGTCAATTTCTGAAGCATACATAACTCCAAGGATATAAAGGAAAGCTTATTAAAACTGAGATTGACATCAGAAACCATTTCCTTCAGTTCTATAATCCTGAAACAAAAATAGTTGTTAAAAAATGTTAGCATTGAATTCACTCTTAGAACTTCAAAACAAAGCAGAACATAACAGAAAAAAATCCTATATTATTTCTAATTATGACTTTCTATGTTTTATTTTTTCACAAAAAATTAGTTATGTAGCTAATAAAAATTTTAAAAATTAGATAGCTATTACTATCCTTTGTCTAAGATTTCTATTTGATCCTAAGTCTATGTTGAAGTTTAATTTTAAAATATACTCACTGCAGCATTTAAAAGAAGTGTGGTACAAATGGGAAAAAGCAGGTCTAGGAAATTTTTATGCTTATTCTGTTAATGACCTGAATCCATGAAATAAATTGTTGAACATATATATTTTATTTTTTGAGGTTCTTGGAGTTAAAATTCAAGGTCTCTTACCTGCTGAGTGACTTCTCTACTACTGGGCTATTTTCTCAGTCTACCTCAAAATATTTTAAAAATATGATATTAACTTTTTTATAGTATCCATTATCTAAATTGTCATTAATTTAATGACGATTATAAGAAAATGAAATGAATTTGTAGGTTTGGCAAGTGACACCACTAAGCAGCTTAGGTTAAAGACTTAAAGAGGAAATATTAATCATTTCTAAGTAAGTATAAGCAAGCTTAATAGTTTTAATTACAACCATGATTGCTAAGAAACAAAAGTTAAACTGTAACAAATCATTTTTAGTCTATCACATTAGCAAAGAAGAAGAATAAATGTGAAATGCTATGCAGATGATGGAATATAAGAGTTTTGATGTATAACTGACAAAACATTTTCAAAAAAGTTATTAGACATACACATTATAAGTCAAATTCTTTGACTTGGTATTTTTTCTGGAAATTTGGCCTAAAGAAAAAATGATTTATCGCTGTAATTAACCATATGCTATATAGGTAAATTAGATTTTTAAAGGGTTGTTTACAACATAGGTAAACAAATATGTATGTATAATTACAGATGGGAACTGCATGAAATAAAGTATCTTTAAGTCAACAGAACATATCAGTGATAGGACTATAACTGATAGGTCCCTTCATTTGGTCCAAAAATCTTATGAATATAAATTGTTTTTATAGTCAGAAAATATGGTAAAAATGTATGAATTATAAATTAAAAATGTAAGAAAGAGAGGAATTGGTTTAGAAATTCTCTAAAACAAAGTATGTTTTTATTATCTTTCTTCTTTGACTTTCTAAGTTGCTAAAAAAAAGTGGCACAATAACTGTGGGAACACAATAACATGTTTTGCACAAGAACCAGATTTGTGGAATAAAATGAGAAGGTAATAAGTTAATATCTTAAATTTATCTTTATTCCCAATTTACTTGTTTGATCCTAGTCCCCCCAAAACAAACTTATCCTATCTGCAAACAAATCTAAATGTTCAACTATCCTATCAAATATCATCTCGGGCCTTTAAACAAGGAAAAACCAGAAGATGGGCCAGATCTCCCTTTGCAATGAATGTTCTTAAAGTTGTCATCCTTGAGGACCTATATTTCTTGAACTATGTATTGTAAACAGAATGAATTTTATGCTTTGACTACCTTTTTAAAAATTTCAAACATGAAAAAATTTGGGGACAGTCAGACGAAAGCCATTCTATTTTCTCAATATATTGTCCTCATCATTTTTTTTCCCTTTTAATATGTAAGTGCTTTCTAGGCCAGGTTAAACATGATATCTGGATTTTGTTCTTTAATTTAATTCTTATAAACAGATATTATTATTATTCCTACTTCATAGGTGAGAAAACTAAGAGCAGCTATGTGACTTGATCGAAACCACACTTAGAAGATCTAGGATACAGAATAAGCAACTGACTCTGTTGCTCAAGTTCCTTATTACTATATTCAGTCTCACAGTTGTATTAATCACTAGATTATTTGTCAAGTTTGTCTGGGTATATAGTTTCCTGCTAGGTAACAAACATTTTAAAAAATTCAACAATATACTAATTTCCTTTCATAACCCAAGATGTACTAAATAGTACAAACTATAAGGCAACTGAGTTCTAATAATTGTAAGTGAAGAACTCTTTCAGAGAAGAAATTATTAACAAGGTTCAATTTTGCTTTTTTTAATCACTAGGAAATTTCAGTGGCTTGGCAATTCATTAAGGTCCAAAATGAAATTTTTATAAATCCACACAAACCTGGCATTCTGTGGTCTCTTAACAATTTTCCTTTAATATTTCATTATATAGGAAAATTAATTTAATATTTTAATAACTTTAATACCTACTTTCCAAGTTTACAATGTAAAGGAAAGAGAAAGTTTTAAGAATCCTCTTACCTCCCTAAAATTATCATAGACGTTTTGCAATTTTCCTCTAATATTAATGAGTCATGACTTAATAGAAACTGCATCATGAATAGTTCTTACCTTTTTGGAATTTCACATAGTTGATTCTTACTGAAGTTAACAGAAGTGATGATGTTGTTTTTTACTGCATCAAACACTTCATCAGGAATGAAAGGTGCTTGCTTATCACTAAATGAAAAATGGTATAAAAATGAAATATTCTTAGCAAGTCAGAAATATATAATTGTTATTCTTCATTTTTAAAGGTTTTCAAATATTTTATAAAAATTTCCAAGGTAAGCTGAGTGTGGCTGCACACACCTATAATCCTAGTGGCTCAGGAGGCTTAGGCAGGAGGACTGCAAGTTCAAAGCCAGCCTCAGCAACAGTGGCATTAAAGCAACTCAATGAGACCCTGTCTCTAAATAAAATACAAAAAATAAGGCTGGGGATATGACTCAGTGGTCGAAATCCCCTGAGTTCAATCCCTAGTACCCCCCACCCCTGGCAAAAAAAATTTCCAAGGTAGTGATTATGAAGTTTTGTTAAGAATGGCACAAAAATTTACCAGCTCACTGTTTAGAATTGAGACAGTGAACTGTGTTACAACACATTGTGCCACGCTTTCTGCACACTCGCATACTAAAATATGAACAAAAACAGAAAAATACTTTCAGAGTCTAGGAAAACTAGAAATCATATAGCAAATGGACATGTTTACCTCTGACTAAGAAATCCATAATTTTAAAAGTTAGTTGTTGCCCCTTTTCTTAAAAAATGTGTAAGAGGGGGTTATCTGCCAACTTTCTTTGGGTACGACAAAATATCACTTTTAAAAGTTCAACATTATACTAAATTAGTTTCAGGTCAATCACCTAGACAAATTTCTCTCTCCTGGTATGTGACTAGGTAGACAGAATACTGGACTGAGACAAACTATTCCTGGTTCTACCATTAATGAGTTTGCAATTTACCTTCCCTGAAGCTTAGTACTTTAAAATCAGAATCTGAAGAGCTAGATATTATTATTTTTTTTAACCACTATTAATGCTTAACACAATGTCATTCACTTCAAGGAAACTTACATGGAATGACAAATGACTGACTATAAGGACTATAAGGACAAGAGAACGTATTACATGGAACTGAGTAAGAAAGCCATCATAATACAGATAGGAAAAAAGGACAAAATTCCAGTTATTATGCCTCCCACTTCTGCTTTAGTGCTCCATTTTCTGTTGTACAGATATAGCATTTTCATCTTTTTAATTATAAATGCTCGAATCATAGATAAATGATTTATGCCAATCAAAGTTGAAAGAGTCAGACTATTTTTAGAATTTAGTTGAATGCATTTACACTTGCTTGGATATTTTTTAGTTGTCAATGGATCTTTCACTTTATTTATTTATTTACTTATTTGCAGTGCTGAGGATCAAACCCAGGGCCTCACACATGCCAGGCAAGTGCTCTACCATAGAGCCACAACTCCAGCCCCCCATTATTTTATATTTTAAAAAGAATACTTGATTCAAATTAAAGTATTGAGAAAAACAAGTTACAATAAAAAGTTATAATCCAAGCAACCTAAGACATACCCTTTTTTTCATGCTTTTGTAGTATCTATGCCCTTAAAAAGTAGAAAAGGTTATCCTACTTATCCTAAATACTACCTTATAAATCATAAAGTACCCAGCATAGAATTTGGTACTTAATAGATTTCAAGAACATGTACTGAACAGATTACATTATGTGGAAGATATGCTAAGGTACAATGCTATATAAAAGGAATACAAATGTAGATATAGAGGAATACTGCCTATGTTAGTGTGACAAAAGAAACTTGGCTTAGAGCAGTTAATTTCTACATACATCAAAGAGTGGCAAACAAGACATGAGAACAATGTGAACGAAAAACAATGGGAAATGGAGACTGTATCCCGAATACCGAGAACATGCTTTTACTGACATGTTAAGGATAAGTGGCCAGACGCTGATGATGGTTGTATTGATTCTTTTTTTTTTTATGGTACTGGGGATTAAGTAAGAGGCACTCAACCACTGAGTCACATCCCCAGCCCTATTTTGTATTTTTTATTTAGAGACAGGGTCTCACTGAGTTGATCGGAGCCTCACTTTCGCTGAAGCTGGCTTTGATCTTGGCAATCCTCCTGCCTCAGCCCCTTGAGCCGCTGGGATTACCTGCATGAGCCACTGTGCCCAGCTCAGTTGTGTTGATTCTTGAATAAATCTAGTTACCTATCTGACTTGAGTCTGTATTCTTTGTTTTCCTTGCAGTACCCATACCTGAACCAATCACCAGAAACTCTTGACTATCTCTTATTTTTATAAGGTATCATCTTTCCCCAAATTAATATACTTCCATTAAATTTTTAGGTTTTTAAACTCAATTTATATACTAACATTGTAATGGCTTCAGTTTTAATATATCTGCTATAAGAGCACCTTGTAACTATGTCATGTTATTAACTAATATTTGGTTAAATTAGCCTCTCAAGCTTTGCCTGTTTTTCAGGTTCTTCATTAACTAAATGAAAAGTATCTCTTATTTAACTAACACAGATTTACCCTCCAATACCCTCTGGATCAATACTCTCTGATACTGATTCAAAGCACTTTATTACCAATAATAAGTCTCTTTTATATCATTTTACATTTAATATTATTTTTATAATTATATCTTAATTATTTTATATTCAATATTAAAATATTATTAATACAGCTTAAGTATAATAAACACAAATCACTTAAAGGATGGGCAGTTAAGTTCATTATACTTTCAATGTGCATTTATTTCATCACTCTTTTTGCAATTGCTATTATTCTGGGTACTCTGATTAATTTTTATTCACCAATTGTTCCTTTTCTGAAGATTCTTTCTTGAAAGATTTCTATGTGTTTTGTAATGTCTTTTAAAAATGAATTACACCAAAAACTCCACCAAATGACTGCTAGAGCTAATAAACAAATTTGGTAAAGTAGCATATTACAAAGTAAATATACCAAAATCAATAGCTTTCCTATAATACCAACAATGAATCTGCCGAGAAAGAAATCAGAAAAACAATTCACTCATAATAGCCTCAAAATAATAAATAAAGAAAGAAAACATCTAGAAATAAATCTAACCAAGAAGGCAAAAGAGCTCTACAATGGAAACTATAGAACACTGAAGAAAGAAATTGAAGAAGACCCCAGAAGATGGAAAGACCTCCCATGTAGCAGAATTAATGTTCTTAAAATGTACATATTACCAAAAGATGTATATAGATTCAATGCAATCCCCATCGAAATATCAAAAACATTCTTCACAAAACTAGAAAAAAGTCCTAAAATTCATTTGGAAGAATAAAACACCAACCAAAGCAATTTTAAGCCAAAAAAGCAATGCTGTAAGCATCACAACATCTGACTTCAAATTATATTAGAGAGTCATAATAATAAAAACTGCATGGAACTGGCATAAAAACAAGACACATAGACCAGTGATACAGAATAGAATATACAGAGACAAACTCACATGTCTGCAAACATCTGATCCTTGACAAAGGTGCCAAAAACATATATTGGAGAAAAGACAGCCTTTTTAACAAATGGTGCTGGGAAAACTGGTTTTACACACGTAGAAGAATGAAACTATACCCTTATTTCTCATCCTGCACAAAGATAAACTCAAAATGAATCAAAGAGCTAGGAATTAAACCAGAAACTATGCAACTCCTAGAAGAAAATGTAGGGTCAACACTACAGCACATAGGCACAAGTAACGACTTTCTTAATAGGACCTCTAAAGCTCAGGAAATAATGCCAAGAGTTAATAAATGTGATGGCACCAAATTAAAAAGCTTCTGAACAACAAAGAAGAATATTAGGAATATGAAGAGGGAACTTACAGAATAGGAGAAAATCTTTGCTACTACTTCTATTGTTGTTTCGGTAGTAGGGATTGAACTTGGGGGCACTTGACCACTGAGCCACATCCCCTCCCCTATTTTGTATTTACAGACAGGGTCTTACTGAGCTGCTTAGTGCCTCGAATTTGTTGAGGCTGGCTTTGAACCTACAATCCTCCTGCTTCAGCCTCCCCAGCCACTGAGATTACAGGTGTGCGCCACTGCACCTGTTAGCTACTCTTCTGACAAGGAATTAATATCTAGAATATATAGAGAACTCAAAAAACTTAACACCAAAATCAAATAACCCAATTAATAAATAGGCAAATTAATTAAATACGCATACAAATGGCCAACAGAGAGATGGAAAAAATGTCTAACATCATTAGCAATTAGGGAAATGCAAATCAAAACTACAGTGAGATTTCATCTCACAACAGCCAGAATGGTAGTCATCAAGAATACAAATAATAGGGGCTGGGGCTGCAGCTCAGTGGTAGAGAGCTTGCCTTGCACTGGGAGGCACTGGGAGGCACCACATAAAAATAAACAAAGATATTGTGTCCATATACAACTAAAAAAATATTTTTTAAAAAGAATACAAATAAATACTAGACAGAATGTGAAGAAAAAGCGACATTTCTACACTGTTTGTGGCATTGTAAATTAATGCAACTACTATGGAAATCAGTATGGAAGCTCCTTAAAAGACTAGGCATGGAAGCATCATAAGATTCAGCTATACCACTCCTTGATTTTTATCTTAAAGAATTAAAGTACTATTGTGACACATGAATGCCCATGTTTATAACAGCACAATTCATAATAGCCAAATTATGGAAAAAGCCTAGGTGTCCATCAATGAATGAATGGATAAAGAAGATGTGGTTTATTTACACAATGGAATTTTTTTCAGCCATAAAGAAAAATAAAAGTTATGTCATTTGTAGGAAAATATATGGAACTAGAGACCATTATGTTAAGTGAAATAAGCCAAACTCAGCTGGTCAAGGGTCATGTTTTCTCTTGTATATAAAAGCTAGAGAGGACAAAGGAAAAGAAAGAGAGGGTGGGAATTTCATGAAAATCAAAGGGAGATCAGTAAAGGAAAGGAGGTGGGGAGGGAGTGAGGGAGGAAGGGAGAAGTGTTGAGGAGCGACACTGGCCAAATAATTCTGATATATTATGTGCATGTATGAATATGCAACAAGGAATCCCTCTGTTATATACAGTTATAATGCATGAATTAAAAAAAAATTAGAAAAGGGGAAGAAATGAATTACATACCTATAGTCTAATATTTTTAATGCGACGATAGCATGCATATTCACTCTGGATTCACTTGGCAATGTCATGGCAGTCTCAGTAACAGAGTCTTGACTAGGCCCATCATCTGGCAAAAGAAAAGGCATATAAAACCAATATTTATATTACAGTCATTTTCAAAAATCTTAATAATATATAAAAATAGTATGCATGACTTCTAGATATTATTAGAGTGCATTTAGTCACATGCTTCATTCCCATTAACTCAAATCTCCATCAAGAACATACTAGTTAAAATACATAAAAGTACATAAAATACATAAAAATATACCTAGCTTCAGTTTAGAATACAATAAAGCTAATTATTCTTAATCACTTAAAATCCAACAAATTCCGTAGTCAAACTCTTAGATATTTTATCAGTTAAAATCTTAAAATATAATACTTTATTTGCAATACATATTTTCCTAACATATATGTCTGATCACATATTCACACATCATCAACCACTTCACTAAATTCCAGAGACTATTTTAACACTGTCATCATATGGTGTTTAAAAAAAAAAAAAAACCAATATACATTTAAAAGAAATGACTTTGTGGGTTTTTTGATTGTTTGGGATTCTTTTGTTTTGCAAAGAACAATCTAGAATGAAGTGAATTAAAGTACTTATTTTTAACAATGTGAAAAAAAAATGAAGTAGTCCCAGAATTCATTAATGTTAAGCATAAGACAATCCAAAGGAAAACTTGAGAATTATTAATCTCACTGATATTGCTTTAGCCCAGTAGGCATTCAATAAATATTTGTTGAATATTACTAAGTGTGTTTCTCTCACACTGAGTTTATCAGTTATTCATTAATAAAAAACAATTAAAATACATGTACACTTTTTGTGAATTAAAAAAAATCCAGGTATAGTAATGCACACCTTTTATACCAATGACTTTGGGAGGCTGAGGCAAGAAGATTACAAGTTCAAAGCTAGCCTTAGAAACTTAGCTTCAGCCCTAATCAACTTAGTGAGACTGTCTCAAAATAATAAAAGACATGAACATAAATATAAGTATCAAGTAAGTACTTTCGTATTTAGAAATTTCCCAGAAGTTTGGTTATATTACTATATAATACTTTTCCAAAATTACATAAGCAGAGAGGCAATGATAAAGTAGTGGCAAAACTCAGCATTATTTTTTAAAAAATATTTTTTTAGTTGTCTATGGACATGATACTTTTATTTATTTATTTTTATGTGGTGCTGGGGATCGAACCCAGTGCCTCACGTATGCTAGGCAAGTACATACATATTTTAAAAATAGGGACTGCGGTTCTGGCTCTGGTAAAGCAAGCACTTCAGGCAAGTGTTTTACCAGAGCCAGAACCCCAGTGCCTATTTTTAAAATATGTATGTACATTACCATGATTATATATTATGATATTCTTGATTTCTAAAGAGGTGCTTTTAATAATCACCATCATAAAGAACTAAAGAGAATGGGCTATTGTATATGGAAAGGGGATTGGTGAAAAGGTAAATTTACTTTCTTTATATATGCTCATATATTGGTTAATTTTTTTTTCACATGTACATTTACTACCTTTAAAAAAATTTTTTTTAGTTGTTGATGGACCTTTATTTCATTTATTTGTTTTTACATGTGGTACTGAGAATTGAACCCAGTACCTCACACATGCTAGGCAAGCACTCTACCACTGAGCCACAAGCCCAGTCCATTTACTGCCTTTAATTTTAAAAACCCTAAATAATAATTTTTAAAAACTTCAAATTTAAAAAGCCCACTAAATGCCAAATAGAATGAATAAAAATACAATCACATTGAAGTATATGATCATAAAATTTCAGAACAATGGCAACAAAGAAAAGATCCTACAAGTTTCCAGGGAGAAAAAAACAAAAACAAAAAACAATTGTTCAACTGACTGATAGGAACACAGCCAAATAAGAAGATAATCACATACAGAAAAAAAGAGAGAAATTATTTTAAGAAATTCTTAAATTTATTTATTTGGTGAATTAGGAGGGCATGGTGGGTGACTTAGCTGAATGAGTGTCACCCAATCAGGACATCTTCAGAGCTTCAATTTACCCCTTAAAAGCAAACATTCTTCAGCCTTGCCAGTAGCTTTGAAAGGGATCAGAAAACCTGACAGATCCCACCATCTCTGGGTAATAGAAGCAAAGGGTTGTACTTCACTTGCGTGGAAGTAGTGTGTTGTGGAGTGATTGATAGAAAGTCTTATATAATCTAAGATGCCAGGTAAACCCTCCAGGAGGATAGTCATCTCAGTAGGGAATCAAAATCTCAGATTCTTTTCAATAATAGGATTTAAAGAATTTGTTAACTTTTTTAATGTCTCCATTTCAATTTTAGATTGTTTTAAAGTTTAGCTTTATTATTCTCTATTCAAATGAAAAGAACTAAATGAATGTTTATTTTCTGAGGCAGGAAGGCTAGGGGTTGGGAAGGAGGAACAAACCTCAGGGAAACTAGTAATTGTACTAGGCAAGCCTGTAGACTATAACCTCCATGGACAGATTGGATGGCTACAGAAGAGAAAAACAGGCCGAATTCTCAGGGAACATGTGCAGCTAGCTTGCCCAGAGTGCATCCAAGAGGGGCTGAGGAATGAAATGTCATAAGAGTGAGCACCAGAATAGCAATATCAGCCTGCAAATTTTCAGGCTCCACCCAAAGGTACTGAATTAAAAAATGTAAGCCTGAGGGTTTGAAATCTGTGTTTTACCAGACCCACCAAGTGATTCCAATGGACACTTAAGTTTGAAAACCCATCTTAACCTATTTCTTTAGTCAACTTTAGAAACTATATTCACTTAACAACTTACTTTTACCACACAAAAGAACATAAATTGAACATTATTGAACATAAATCAATAATGCATACCTACCAATAATCCTGATTTTAACTCTAATTAGAACATATATTTATTTACCCCACAAACTGTTACTATGCTCTCTGCTTTGGCAGTCATTGTATTAGGGGTTGGGAATGTAAAAATAAAGACATTGCATGGCAGACTATGGCCAGATCTGCTGTATGTAGTCTACCACCCTAAGCCTAATAGCTGGATGGTAATTGCTCACACTTTAGTACTATAGAATTGCAAAGAAATTGAAAATGATGCCAAATTATAATTTTTATCAAAGTTATGGAATGTTTTCTATGGCTTTATTAATAAATTGCTACAAACTTACTGGTTTTTGTTTGGTTTTGCTGTACTAGTTATCAAACCCAGGGACTCACGCATTCTAGGCAAGGATTTATTACTTATCAATATTCTCAGCCCAATGTAGTGGTTTAAAACACACAAACTTATGATCTTGTAGTTTTCTAGTTCAGAAACATAATGGGTTTCAAGGGGCTAAAATCAAGGTTTTGGTAGGTCTGCATTACTTTTCCTCAGGAAGAATTTGTTTCCATTCCTTTCCAACTTCTAGAAGCCACATATATTCCTTTCTTCCTCTCTCTTTAAAACCAAGAACAGTGTATTCTTCTTGTATCCTATAGCTGAACTTGTCCTCTACATTCCACACCAATTTTTAAGAATCCTTATGACTATACTGGGTCAACCCCTTTCATTCATGAAAATATTCTTATTTTAAAGTTAACCAATTAGGAATCTTAACTGCTCTCTTCCATGTATGATAACACATTCCCAGGTTGCAGGGATTAGAATAGATAAGATTGAGAGGTTAACATTCTATCTACCACCTGTAGCATAGAAAGATGATCCAGGTAACATAGTAAGAAATTAAACTCAGAACACAGAATCAGATGATGGAGCTTGAGCAAAGGCAGTTTTTATAATCAAATAATGTAATTAAGCTTGTGTATTAGGATAACATAATTGGAGTAACCATCTGTCTTAGTCCACTTATAATACTATAATAAAATATTATACACTGGGTAATTTACAACAGTAAGGATTTATTTCTGACAGTTCTGAAGGCTGATAAGTCCAAGATTAAGATGCTGGCATTTAGTGTCTGGTGAAGGCTTTGTCTCATCTCTTCACAAGGCAGAGGGATGAGAGAATGCTCCCTTCAACCTTGAACTCCTTTATAACAGTGCCGATCCCATGAGGGTAGGGCCATGATGGCTCAATCACCTCCTAAGGCCCACAACTTTTAATACTGTAGTATTGGGGATTAAGTTAACCACAGCAGCACCCGTTTGGGACCTTTAGCAACTTGGTAGAATCTCACACTAGACAGACAGTATCACAGCCACAAATAGAACACATCTCTCACATAAACTGGACAAACTTTAGAAACTACACTCACTTAAGAACTCTAGCTTAAAATTACTTCATAAGGTTCTTTGTTTAAAAATATACCCTATGAGCGTTTAACTAACTAGCACGAGATCTGAATATGAGATTGCTAAATTTTTGCAAACCTCAAACTCAGTCCCTAGGAAGATATTTTATAAACAATGAAAACAAAATTTTATAGCCCATTGATATTTACCCAGGCTATTGATTTTTACCTGGAGAACAATTAACAAGTAAACAGAGGTCAGATTTATCTGAAATTCTGTTTTTTAAAAAAGCCACCTCAAAGTAAAAATTTCACACATGCCACCTCATGAAATTCTGATCCTTAAAAACCAATCATTCAAGAAGGTATTATATTCATTTTATAGATAGAGATCTGTGGGTTAAATTAACAAAACATCAGTTAAAATCTACACATAATAATAAAGATGGCCTTCTGTGAAGAATGGCTTAAGTTCTTTGGATTTAGCAAAAGATTAATTTTTTTTAAAGGGGGGGGAGAGAGAGAATTTTAATATTTATTATTATCATTATTATTTTTTAGTTTTCGGCGGACATAACATCTTTGTTTGTATGTGGTGCTGAGGGTCGAACCTGGGCCGCACGCATGCCAGGCGAGCACGTTACTGCTTGAGCCACATCCCCAGCCCAGCAAAAGATTAATTTTTAAGAGTATAATTCAATTTTAGAGTTATATTTGTAGGGAAACAAGGACTTGAAATTAACTCTTTGCTGAGAAGGATAAAAATAGTCATTGCAAAAAGTATATGTACATCCTACATGAATTACTGGGCTTCTGCTAGACA